ACTCTCTGCAGACGTTTGCGGTCCCTTACAGTAGTGTTGCCATACCATGCAGTGATGCAGCTGGTCAAGACGCTCTCAACTACACAGCTGTAGAAGTTGTTGAGGATCTTAGGTGACATGCCAAACTTCCTCAGCCTCCTCAGGAAGTACAGCCGCTGTTGTGCCTTCTTAACCAGCTGGGTAGTGTTGAGTGTCCAGGTGAGGTCCTCAGCGAACTTCAGTATTATGTTGTCCTTGTGGGACAGTCATGTGTGAACAGTGTGTAGAGGATGGGACTGAGAACACACCCGTGTGGGGTGCCAATGTTTGTTATGACAGTGTCTAAGGTCCTATTTCCAATCCTAACAGACTGTCTGCCAGTCAGGAAGTCTAGGAGCCAGACACAAAGTGTGGGGTGTAGTCCGAGTACAATCAGTTTTTGGGTGAGTTTGTGAGGGATGACCTTATTGAAGGCGATAAGATAAACTTCCTAAACTATAAATTGCAATTTATATTTATATATTCAGACTTTTATATTCTGAATTACATTTATATATTCGGATTTGGAACTATATATTCAGATCGACTTCTACATATTCACAATTTACATTTAAATATTCAGATGTTATATAATTGACGTGAAAGTGCGTGTGTGCGTGTGTGCGTGTGTGTGTGTGTGTGTGTGTGTGTGTGTGTGTGTGAACAAGCAAGCCATGACCTGCAGTGCCTGCCCACCTGGATGACAAGACGACAGCTGCCCAATTTCCACAAAGCATTGGATCATTTGTTCAACCATTGGCTGAGGCAAGTTAGCAATCTGTGCCCTTGTACAAGCTACCTTTGATACAGAGAAAAGAGCTTTGTGGTCCTCTAGTGCTTCTTTTCCCCTTAACCGGCAACAGCGACAAGCTCCAAGGTTCTGAATAAATGGAAATTGGGTGGCACACCCCAAACAAATGAGGACACTGCCTCGAGGTGCTTCGCTTAGGCGCTGAGTAGTGAGGGGAATATCAGTTTTTAAAATGAGGCTCTTTAGCATTAGATCTAAGACAAATCAACCGAGACTGCTAATTTACAGTTATAGCACGCAGGAGAAAATAAAGATCCCCTTCAGAAACCTAGTGAGCTCTCCTGCTGTCTACTGCATATATAGGAAGCATCTTAACTCAGTGGAACTTTACTAAGGCCTGATTTACATTTACTACACTCAACACAGGCAGCAACATAAATTCAGAATTGAAGAATTGATTTAGTTTCATTTCCCAAGCTGTAATGTGAATCAAACTAAATCTGTACGTCAGGCTTATAAATCTTCAAATTGTAAAGCTTTTTTAAACTATTTTCTAAAACTGACGTATACTTAAAAAAAAAACTCTACACAATGGCAGCAACTTAAATTCAGAATTAAAGAATTAGTTTAGTTTCAATTCACAAGTTGGAATGTGAATCAAACTGAATCTGTCTGTAAGGCCTAAAAATCTTCAAATTTAATTTTTATTTTTAGCTGATTTCCACTTAAAATGCTCTACACAGGGAGCAACTTGAAAATTCTGAAATGCACTGGTTTAGTATTAAGTGACAAGTTGGAATTTGAATTGAACTGAATCTGTAAGGCCTATAAATCCTTAAATTTTAAAGCTGTTAAAACATTTTTAAACCTTTCAAAGAATACATGGTCAACATTCAAAGTCTTTCAAATTTTGCTTTTCTAGTTACATTTAGAATTATAGTTCTGTAATGTTCAATTCATTTTTTAGTTCTACTTCTTTGAATTCAAATTCAGAAATTGAATGGAATTCAAACGCATTTCCAATTCAGTCATGATTGGCACACAACCCTGGTTAGCATGTTGCTAAGTTAACAACACGATACTCTAACAAGCATAAAAATACATAGTACATATTGGCCAACATTTTTGGGCAATTTTATTTATGTTTTTAGAATTAAATTAAATATTTTCACTGAATTAATAGCAATGCATTCTGGGAGTGCTTTATTTTCACAGATCAAATTGCAGCCTTAGAATTGGTCCAAAATGAAGGATAATTTGGCTAACTTATGTCTTCAAATCGGAAGTGCGTCCTTAAAATGCTGTCTAGCTAGGCAGCTTTACTAGTTTTGCAACAGAACTAAATCTGAACCACTTCCAACACATTCGTATAGAGACACAATCTACACATCAAAATGCTCTAATAAGACAACCCACAAAATTAGAGACTTTCTCTCAGTGCTTTCACTGGAGCCTGAAGTTTATCAGATGTTCACACGTAATCATCTTTATCACAGACATGGGGAGAAACCAGACTCACTTTCCTTTCATTAGTGACAGGAAATTTGATCAATCCGATTAGCTTTCTTCATTATCCTCTTTATTTACCTCTCTCTCTCTCTCTCGTCTCGGCTGCTGACTGTCAGGTGGAGGGTGACGTACAGATGTCAAAGGGTGATGTTCACCCACTCACTGGGGCTGGGTGAAGTTTGAGCAGATGTCTTATAAACCTCCATAGCCAGAAACCAGTATTTCAGTGGAACAAAATCACAATAGAGCTGTTCAGAAATAATGGCAATTTGTAGGCCAACCCGGAAGGCTAATTCACCATGGGTTCCTGTGGGAATTCCTAATTTTTTTGGAAAAGCCGTTTTTAATTTAAGAGTAAAATAAGGTCTGTGGTTAATATTACTTCACATTTGATTCATAAATTGCACAAGGTCATACCTCAGACATGAATTCCAAGTCTCCTGAAGGCATGCAGTACTATAGTATTGTGTGCTTAAACAGAATGAAATTCAAATTTGTTCCTACTGATAAACAACAACATGAAGGTGAGTAAATAATGACAGATATTACATTTTTGGCTGAACTAAATAATAAAATAAAAAGTACAGTAAAACAGTATTATTACAGTATTTGTTTACATATTTATTTGAAAAAATAAATGTGTTGTAACATTATAAATGTCTTTACTGTCACTTTTGATGAATTCAGTGCGTCCTTGCTCAATAAAAATATTAATTTCAATATTATACTGACCCCAAACTTTTGAATGGTAATTAATGGTAATGTATATATAGTGTATATATTTTAAAGGGGGGTGATTCTTTTCTATACCCACTGTATTTACATAGAAAATCCAAATGTATGTAGAAACAACATAAAGGCGGCATATTTTAAATATTAAATTTAAAATCAATTTCTGGGGTTAAAATGAGTAAATATTCAACATTCAAAGCCATTCAACTTTACAGTAAAATTTGTGCCATAATTTTTAACATTTAATTAGCCTAAAATGTTAAAGAACATTAAAAAATGCATAACTTTTAATATAGTGTGTATAACCTTTATATAGTATATATAACCTTTAATATAGTGTGTTATGTATAGTATATATAACACCTCTAGAAAACAATGCATCCGAAGCTGGTATATAAGCTGGTGTTTTAAGCAGGATTGTGTTTATATCTACAAGCACAGTTTGTATAACCCATTACATTCAGACAAGAATCCAGCTGTATTTCAGGTTAACACAGCCACAAATCAGAAGTTCTCCTGCTGACTCAGCACTGAATGTAATAGATGACTATTCAGACAGGAACCAGGAACAGAAGCCCAAGGGGCGTAGAAGTAGCATGTCATGCTGAGAGGTAATAGTTATTCACCAATTAGCCTGAGCTAGAGCTGTGCTTCTGCAGCGCTTCATAAATTACATCAGGGCCGTGCCAGGATCACATCTACAGCAGAAAAATGAATATGGGAATGATGAAGGTCTTGTAAACATAACTGTGGTCAGATAAAAGATTATGATTGATTGAATATATAACAAAAGATTGATATTATAAAAGACAATCTTGTGCATATGAAATATATATGATATATGGTGCATATGACTGATTGCAGGAGGACAGCAGAGAGGGATTCATGGTCTCCTGACATCAACCATCCTGAGATCCAGAAAGAGGGTCTGCTATTCTTCACCATTTAAACAACTGCCATGCTGCAGAGATTTATCAATGCCATTTCACTGCTGGCTTTAAATACAGTAGGATGAAACACTTTTTGAATCCTAATTTGTATACTATCCAACCTATACAGTATAGGTGCATCCCAAATTACAGGAAAAGGTGTGATTATTATATTATATTATATTATATTATATTATATTATATTCAAAAACATGTTAACTTCTGAGATTAATAGCGATGGCACAGATTTTACTGTACTGTTGAAATGTTGAATTTACCTATATTTACTCATGTTATCCCCAGAAATTGATTTTTATAAACAAACAAACATTTAACAAAGGCATTGGTATTGGTATTGGTGATACTTGCCTTCATTTGTAGTAAGTAAAATGATGCCATAAAACAAATATTTAAAATATACTGTCTTTGTTGTATCTACATTTATTTAGATAT